TTATTTTTATTATAACAATTTTCATTTATTTGTGTACATGTTTGTCTTCTGGGTTGAAAATTTCATTTAAGTAGAATATTTTGTTCAAGATTTTTTATAAACTCCTAGTGCAGTGGTGGATAATAAACTTTCAGATAAGTCAGCACTCCTTCTGCCCACCTGTGCCTGTGCAGGTGCTTCATTTCACTGACCCCGCCTTTGTGAAGGGCCAGAGGCAGCTCTACTCCCAAGGCCATCTTCCTGTAACCATGCAGGGGTGAGAGGATCCATCAGAGATGAGTGAGGAACAGAACATTGACTGAAATACACTGCTGAGGGGAATAGTGGACAAGACAGGAGAGGTCTGCTGTACCATGTGGGTCACCTCCCTGGCCAGGGATTGAATACATGTTGCAGTGGCTGCAGGTAGCTTCATAGTGCTAACACTTAACCCCTGGGCCACCAGGGAGAACCTAGGTGTTAAAGTCTTAGTGCTGTTGCCAGCCACTGTGGCATGAGTTCTGTCCCCAGTCATAGAGCTGGCCCTCATGGCACAGCAGACCCCTCCTGTCTCTCCCACTGCTCCCCACAGCAGTGTATTTCAGTATATCTGTCTATTCTGCTGCCTACTCTGTCTCTGGTGAACCCTCTAACTCCCACACCTCTGGCCTACACCCCAGTTCTTGTATGCATAAATAAACAAAATAAATCTTTAAAAATTTTTATGTTAGAATAAGAAATCTGAAAAACAAGTCTCCTTTTAGGGAGGGAATTATGTTTTAATTTAAAGAGACACTCTGAAGTAAATCACTTGAAATGATAAGAGCATTTATCAGGTACCAAGTGTTAAATTCTTGACCTTGACTGATAAGACAAAAGAGAGAATAATTAGAACAGAGGGGAGGCCTCCCTGGGTCAAGTCTCAGTGCTATCAAGTTATCACTAGCCACTGGGGCTTGAGTTCAGTTCCCATCTTGAGTTCAGTTCTGCAACCCACATGGTGCAGCATCTGCCCAATATTCCCCTCGGCAGTATATTTCAGTAGATCTTCCTGCTCTTGCTCCCCACTATGTCTCTGGTGAAGTCTCTCACTCTCTCTCCCCTGGTATATACCCCAGTTCTTTTATGCATAAATGAATAGATCTTTTAAGAAAAAATTAGAACACAGGGAACAAATCAAAGCACCTACCAGAATGAGGCAAGTTTTCTAGTAAAACTTATATCTGTTATAAATTTGTATCTTGGAGTAACTAAATGTTACTCTGATTTTCCTATTTATTATTATTGTGAAGGTTGAGCATGTTCTTGTCAAATTATTTTTTGCCCATCTAAAATTTTTAAATTTTGCTGTCTTAAAACATAGTGAAATGAAGATAAAAATAATATTTGGCATATTACTCCTGACTATTAATTGTATTGTACATTTAAGATGTGGTTGAATTTATAATAGTTTACTGTGCTTTTCCTCTTAAAATTCATTTTTATTCTCCAAAATAGAAAAAGCCAGAGAAAGGATTTTGTAATAGCCATTACAATTCTTTGTTCTCTTCCACAGGCTTTGAAGCATAGACTTTGAAAACAGTCTGAGTAAAAATAAAATGCTTCTCATAATTTCTATATTCTATGTAAAGTTTTAAAATTCTTAATAGCCTTGGGTAGAGATTCAAATTAATTATCTTGTAAATAACTGAACAGTTTGTCCCAATGCCACGACTGAATAATCCATCTTTTCCCCACTGCCTTCAAATTCTCTTTCCTGTTTATTTCAGTCATTTCTGATCTCAGTTTTGGTCTCATAATATCCAGTCTCTCCCCTGCAGTTTATCTTTCATGGTGCAGGAAGTGTTCTTTTAAAGAGAAAATATGATCTTGTCAACTCTCTTCTTAACCTTGTCCATGAATAAAATCTTAGAATCAAGCTATATAAATCTTGACTTTACTCACATACCCCTTTGACTGTCCCCCAATCAAGCCTCCCTACCCTCTTTTATGGTGTAGCAACACTGACCATAAAGTTAATTTTTGGAGAATATGGCCTTTCTTCTGGTAATTCTGTTGGTCATATTTTCCTCCCATGGGTTATTAATAATCAAGTAATTATCACTTCTTTAGGAAAGTTTTAAATCATTCCCAAGATTGGATTAAATTAATTGGTCTCAAGCTTGATCTACTTTTCCCTTGAGAGCTTCTGTAACTTACATCTGTAAACAGTTTTTTGTATACTCATTAACCACCTGATGAATTTATAATTTCAAGAGAATTTTATCTATCTTGATCACTCTTATCCAGTATACCTTGCCTAGTGCCTTGACTATAGTACAAACACATTAAGTATTTAATAATTAGTAATTACATAAATAAAGGTACCAATCACATATGACCTGTTGTTTAGCAATGAATATGACAATAATTAATTGTAATACAGTACGTTACTAAGTGTGTTTGTGTGTAGGAACTCTCCAAGCAAAATAGGGAAATCAATATCAGGCTTGAGTAGTTAGCATTGTTTGCCACGCTCATTAAAACCCAAATATAGGGGCCCTCCTTGGTGGCACAGTGGGTTAAAGCACTGCACTAAGAAGCTTAAGCCACTGCCGCATGAGTTCGATCCCCGCCTGCCAGGGAGAAGCTCCACATGGCGTGGCAGACCTCTCCTGACCCGCCCGCTGCTCCCCTCAGCAGTGTACTTCATTGATCTGCCTTTTCTGCTCCCCACTCTGTTCCTGGTGAATCCTCTCACCCTCCGCATCTCTGGCCTGTACCCCAGTCCTGTATAAATAAATCTTAAAAAAAAAAACACCCAAATATAAATAGAGCATTCATAAATGGAAGGTGTTAGTGATAGTAGCTACACAGGTGCCACAGCAGAAAACAAACTCTCAAGCCAGATAGGAGATATATTTTCTAAGGAAGTGATTGCTGAGAGCGGAAAAAGAGCTATTTGGACTAATGTGATGGTTGGAGGGATGCGCAGGATGACAGGGAGGGATGCGCAGGATGACAGGGATCAGCAAGAGTACTCCAAGTCCAGAGAACAGCATGCAGAAAGGTCAGTGATGAGAGAGAGGTTGTCCAGAAAACAGCCCAGCAACACAGAAGAAGAAATGAGCCAGGTCTTGTTAGTTACTTAGTACCAAAAACTGAAAAGAGGGCCCTACCTGTTGGTGCAGTGGGTTAAAGCGCAGCACTATGAATGAAGCTCGCCACAGCACTTCAGTGCCAGTTCGACCTTGGCCAGGGAGGTGACCCACATGGCGCAGCAGACCTCTCCTGTCTCGTCCGCTGCTCCCCTTAGCAGTGTACTTTGTCGATCTGTTGGTGAATCCTCTCACCACCCCTGCACTTCTGGCCTGTACCCCATTTCTGTATGCATAATTAAATAAAATCTTTAAAACAAAACAAAAACTGAAAAAGAGGGTTCAAACAGTAATAAAGGAGGGTGCTTAAAGAAAGTGCCAAAAAGTGCCAAAGGACAGTGCCCACCAGGGTGGAGGAGAGGTCATTTCACACAATTGCAGGACCACTCAGTCTCAGAGACCACCAACAGCAGGTTTTATTTAACAAGAGTTTGGGCAAAGGAAAGTTTTTGAGGCCACAAGTGGCTGACTCTTACCACAGATAGTGTCGTCAGTGTCCAGAAGTCCCAAACAAAGGCCACCTGAAGATGAGATTACACTCCAGCAGCTCACAACAGCATGTGGACCAGTTAGAGATGGACTCAACAGTACTAGGAGGTGCTGCAGAAGACTAGAGGCTGTGGTCAGCTCTTTGAGATGCTGGGCCGAATCTGACGGTGCTCCTTTCAGGTGATGTCAGAGACAGGTGCAGTGGTTGAGTCTCTGTGAAGTCCACAAAGGTCAATGAAAGTCTATGAAGTATACATATAAGAAGGTCTGGGGAGGCCCTGCCTGGTGGCGCAACTGGTTAAAGTGCAACAAGAAGAGCTGCAGCCACTTCAGTGTGAGTTCGATCCCCGGCCCTGGAGGTAACCACATGGCACAGCAGACCTCTTCTGACCCGCCCGCTGCTCCCCTCAGCAGTGTACTTTGTCAATCTGCCTATTCTGCTCCCCACTCTGTCTCTGGTGAAGCCTCTCAGTGCCCCTTCTCCTCTGGCTTGTACCCCAGTTCTGTATGCATAAATAAATAAAATCTTAAAAAAAAATAAAAGGTCTGGTGAATCCTACAGAGGTTAACTGCTTCATGTGTCTGTCTCTCCAGAGGCTGGGAGCAGGATCCTTCTCAAAGGTGGTATAATGAGTAACTCTTCAAATGACAGCTGCTGGCTTCTTCAAAAGTGGTCCAATGAATCCTTCCTCTCTATTCAGAGGCTGGATTCATACTCACTGGAGCTGGCTCTCCATTATATGCCCTTCATAGTTCCCCACTCTCTACAAGCCTGATTAGAGAGTCACTTTCAATCCTAAGCATCTGATTGGGTAATTTAGCAGCAATCAACTTGCTTTCCATTTTTCAATCCAAAAAATTAATGAAGTGGGCTTGAACCTGACTGGTCCATTCAACTCACACCTGACTGGTTTATTTTTAAATCTTAGGCCAGGTATCAAAGGGGAAAAAATTTCAGCCTGGCCTATGTCCAGGGAGCCATAGCCAAAACTGGCCTCACTGGGGAGGGGAGAAGGAGAAAAGGGGATGTATGTTATCATGTCTCAGCCCCCCAAAAGCCATCTTGCCACAAGGTCTTTTGGGACCAGGAAACTAAAAATAAGGCTGAGAAGGGCGATGGAGGAGGTTGGTGCTGACCTCTGGGCAATAGGTTTTAGGGTCCCAAACAGGACTGAAGTTGTGTCTACCCTAGCCAAGGAGGAGAGACTGTAGAGGAACCACTCTACTTTGGTATCCTCCCTTCATCAAACCTAATCTGAGCAGATAGATCTGTCATCTAACAGTACGCTCAGGTGAACCATGCCAAATTCTAGATCCTCACTCCACTGCTGTGGCCTGGGAAGGGTGGGGCATGCGGTAGTTTGGTGAGTTGTCATTGTTCTGTTCTATTTTTAGTGCGAGAAACTGTGCAGGCCCAGAATGATCTAGTATTGGAAACAATGCAGGACAAAAGCAAGGTGGAACAGGCACTCCTCGAGATGCAGAAGAGATTTGAAGCTGTAAGTATATATCTTGACTTCTTTCTTCAATGACTGAGGACTAGAGAGACCTTTAAAACTGCCAATTTTCAACCAAGAACAGAGGCCAGCACAGACCCTTTGATAATGGGCCAGAGCAGAGGTCAGCTTCCTCCCTCAAGGTTCTCTGGCATGATGTGCAACCTGGGGCCCCTACTCCAGTGTCTGCGCTACTCATAATGTTCACAACAAAGGAGAAGCCTGGATTCTGATGCATCATACCTTAGCTTGTTCTCATGTTGTATTGTGCATTCAGAGTTGCACCTTCCATAACTCCCTTCTTTTTCTTGTCTTTGCCTAGAGACAAGCAGAGTTTATAGAAATGAAGTCCGACTTGAAGCACCTTGAAGTTTTAGTTGCCCAGCAGAATAAGGATTTCCAGCAGCTGTGTGAACAGCTGGGCCAGCTGAAGGTGCCCACTATTCTTGCAGAGCTAAAGAAATTGATCTCATTTCCTGGGGTACTCAAGAATGTACAAGACAGCTCTTCCCAGACCTCATCACCTTTGGCCCAGAGCCTAAGTTTTACTAGGCAGGAAAAATATGCCTCTGAGGAAGCAGTTATGTGGCAGGGCCAAGGTCCCCCTGCTGCAAAGAATCTTAGTATGGGCTCTCCGTGCCCTGGGAAATACAGTGTCTGGAGTGAGGGAACGAAGAGTGATGCTCTCCAAGAAGAGGCTGTGCTGCTGGCAGCTGGAACCACTTCTAGAAACAGGCAAGTGAAGGACAAGGCCGTGCAGACTAACTGCAAGAATTGGGCTATTACTAAAATAAGCTCCCAGAACCCAGGCTCTGGTTTTGTTGGCCACAAGGTTCCTGCTGATGGGGACCTGGTTTTCCAAGGAGCCTCAAAGCTTTTATCCTTGAATTTTGCAACCAGCATTCAGAACACCTGTCAAAAATACCACACCAAAGGCATGTTTTCCTGTGACCCTTGTGAACAAACAAGAGTCACTGAACAGAAATGCAGAACTGTAGGAAGAGTGGGGAGAGGCAAGAAGCAACAGCACAGGAAAGCCCACAGAGGTAGGCTCATAGCCAGGAAACAAGAACAAACTCCAAGTAACACCTCTGTTTTCAATTCTAAATATCCTCAACTTCCTGTTTATGGCCCTAAAAGGCCTCCCCAGAAGCAGCAGGAGCCCTTCATTGAGCCACTGCAGCTGCAGGATCCCAGGAGCCCCATAAAATCAATCTCCCCTGCTCTGGGTGGTACTGTCTTGCCCAGTAAGACAGCAACAGCCATGGAAGGGGGCCTCTTGCTTTTCAATAGGTTCTCTTCCCAAGACAACAGCTCCCAGGAGGACCACCAGATAAGCTGGTTCAGTGACCTCAACCTCAGAAGTTCAGAGCCCCCTCTGGGCAAGGAGCGGGGGAAGAATCTGCTCTATGACCTGGGTTTTGATAGTAGTGATGATGGTTTCTGAACAGCCCCTCAGTAACTTCAGCTGATGGCTTATATGTCTCAGCCAGAAAGATAAACTATACAGTTGGGCTAGGTGTAGAAAGTTCTGGAAAACTGGGATTCTCAGGGTCAAAGGCTAAGGGGGTCCATAAAGGGGTGGGGATAGATCTGACAGTTTGGGTGCCAGGTGCTGCCCATGACGAGCGTAAGTGAAAGGACATCCTTATATATTAGACTGAACAGTATGAGGATGAAGGCAGCCTCCTAGGTGTGGGGCGTCAGGAAGACGGTGCAGGGTTTAGTGAGAGGGCTGACTTCCATATGGAATACTGAGCAGCAGAAGGGCTCTCAAAACTGTTGCTGTGGCAGCGTGACTCTCAAACACAAGTTTTTTGTCTTCAAAATATTCCTATACCTAAATGTCCAGATCTTTGTGTTTTTTTTTTTCCTTCACTTTTGCCACCAGGGCAACTGCATTTTTTGGTCAGTGGACATATTAAAGGATACACTAAGTCAGTCTTGTTGTGAACAGAGAAACAGCTGTCAGTGAAGCCCATGAGGCAGTTAGAGCTACCAGATAAAACGCCCGAGACCACTGTCCCCAGGCCACACAATTCCACTTTCCTTCCTGTCTGTTTTACCTCTGTCCTGTCTTTCAACCATTCTCTTCAAGCAACCGAGGCATCGGTAGAGCCCACATCATTTCTGGAGAGCAAAAGAACTATATCAGTCTGGCTTTCCATTGGAAGTTTTTAAGTTTTTGCAATACATATGTATTACTTTAATAATAAAAAATTCAAAAATAAAGATGTAACTGTTAAAAGGCACCTGTTTTTTTTTCCCTTCTTTTGTTAAGGTTATTAAACTGGTCTTCCATCAATTTACTTAAAGAAATCAAATAGATAAGAAGGGTATCATAGAGAAGTCCAATGAGAATCTGTAAGGCTGCCAATCCCTGATCTGTGCAGGGGATTCATGTGAGGCTTCCTGTTTCAAGTGCTCCACAGACAGACAAGAGTTGCAGGCAGTTGTCGCTTCTGTCCTTTGGATCTGACAGGGTTGGGAAGGTCTAAGCCTTAGGGCCACTTCCCTTGCTTCCCCACCAGAGCACCAAGGCCTGTTGCTTGCCTTGAGTTAAGTAGTGGTTTGCATTCACACCGGTGAATGTATTCATCCTTTTATGTCAAGTTTTTTGCAGGCTCTCAGTTCTCTAAGAGATGGTAACAGGGCCTTCCCTGGTGAAAGCATAGTACTTTAAAGCAATCCGCAGCCACTGCAGCACTGAGTTCAATCCCTGTCTAGGGAGCTGACCCACATGGCGTGACCTCTCCTGACCCGCCCACTGCTCCCCTCAGCAGTGTATTTCAGTAGATCTGCCTGTTCTGCTCCCCACTCTGTCTCTGGTGAATTCTCTCACCCCCACACCTCTGGCCTGTACCACAGTTCTTGTATGCCTAAATACATTAAAAAATAATAACAACAAAGTTTGGTTTTCTGCTGTTATGTGAGAAAATTAGACCCCCGCAACACTTTTTGTGTGAGGGAGACAAAGTGCTGCAATAACCCCCACCCTCCCCACAATATACAGTTTTGTCCTCTGGGGTTTTTATAAGATGACTTTGGATAAACCATATCCTACTCAGGTTGATTTTTCCTGTATGAAAGTAAAACTCCTCATGGACAGACTTGTGGAATTTGCCCATTTCCAAGTCAGTGTAGTAAACAATGGAGCCTCTGAATGAACCATTACAGAAAGCAATGGTTTTGATTTCTTATTTTTATATTCTTTGTTTTCAGTTTATATCCCACTAAAGTCTGGAGAAGTTGAAATTGCCAGCGCATCTTCAGCAGGGGAAAACAGGCACCAGCTTAAGCTGTTCTGCTCATTTCCACACCAGGCCTCCTGTGGCCAGTAGTTGGGAACCACAGGCAATGACAGTGACCTTTGAGGCTCAGGAAGTGCAGGCTTGGACGCCACCTCAGGCTGCCCTGGCCTCTTCTCTCCGGTGGGCCTCACTGATGTCTGCTCACCCCGCTCTCTACCAGGCTCCACTGCCTTCCTGCTGGCTTTCTCTGTGCACAGGGCAGGCCTGGGGGGAAGAGCCCAGCCACACAAAGGGAGTCTTCCTGTCCTTCTCACAGTGCCTGCTGAGCCGTTAGCATGGGACTTGTAGGCCAGGAAAAAAATTTGTATCTGGAAATCTTTAAGTTGAAAAGTTTAATATTTAGTCATTTTAATTCAAAGTTAAAACCCTGTTAAGAGACAGGGTTTGTGACCTTATTGAAGGCTCTGTCCAGTTTTGAAAAGCAGGACCCCACAGTTTTGATTCTTCTGGGGGTGAGTTATAAAAGCCTGTATTTCTTCAGCAGTATTTCATTTAATGAGTCAAAGTTCGGAGGGATTGTAATCCATGAACTGGGTGTTTTTGTAGAATGAGCAGATGTATCTCCTAAGAAAGCTGGGTTCATTAAAGTTACACTGCCTGTCTCTGGCAAGCATCAGGAAAAGATATTATTTCTTTTTTCTAAGTTTTTTTTTTTTTTTAATAACTACTGTATTCATGCCAGATTTGGTGAGCGTGACACAACCCAGGCACAGCCCTGAAGAATGCACCACTTTTGGCTCTTTGGCTGCTGACGGAGATGCATGTGACTTTCATGGGTGGATGTGGTGGGAGGTCTATGGGCCCACATCCCAGAAAGCCCCCTTAGGGGTCCCACTGATAGGATATCAGCTAGTCTGGAGGGCAACATGAAACTAACAGCAGCAGCACCTAATTGTCTTGACAGTCAAGTACTAATTTTTTCTTTCTCTAGTTTTTTATTTAATATAACTGAGTATATTTTTTTCTTTTGCTTTTGTTTTTCAAGTATCATATCAATGTCACCGACCGAGAGGCCTTTTCTGATCTTTTCTCCTGTGGAGTTTGCCCTACTCACGGCCCATTCTTGTAACCCTGCTTTAATTTTCTCCTACAGCTCCATCTTTAAATGATGTATGAGCGTGAATACTTTTTAAACACTGTGACCAGTGGAATATAAACTCCAAAAACAACATCAGCACAAACCTTACCCCTGCAGTATTCTCAGCATCCAGGACCCTTGAAAAATACTGATTGAAGACAGGAATTGCCTGTTTATTATTTTAAAAGCCCTGAAGTCAGGTCAATCTCTCTCCAGCATCTTCCCTGCATACTATTTTTCATCAGAGCTCCTGAAAAGGGTCTCCTGCAGGATGTCAACTCTTGACTCTTAGGCCAGCTCCCAGCAACCCCCTTCATCAAAAATGCCCAGAAGACACAGCCTTCTGTCCCCCCTAAAAGATAGTTGCTTTCTATAAGAGTTGAACAGTTTTGAACATATTAAAAATTCTGAGCCTTGAGCCAAAACTCTTCTTCAAATCAGGCATTTTCCAGTTGGCCTAGGACAGGAAGTACTTCCTCCCCAGAGCTGAGATCCACTGTCAAGTAGATTTCCTGAGCAAAACTTTGTTTCCTCTATAAATATTTAGCTAGGACCTAAAATATTAACGTTCTCTCACAAACTCCAGGGAGAAATCAAGTTGCCAGAACCTCAGCTTGTCTGGGAATAACAGCCTTCTTAACAATTATTAATCTGGTGCTATGGTCTCCCTCATTCACAAGCCCCCCTCACTGCTCTTCACTACTGGATTAAGTATCCATCCCTCAGAGGAGGTACCACTCCTACACTAGATAAGTCCTGTCCTGACCATCTAGAGGGAGAGTGGCCTGAATTAGGTCTCTTTCACAAACCCTTTTCACTGAGTGCTTTGGACCATTAAGAGCTCACAACCATGAGTGGCAAGATGGTTTGGCTGCCCCACCAGCACATCCCTGGGCATAGAAGGGAGATACAGGCCCCAAGGAAATGTTTCTTCTTCCCTGGACTCCTGATTCCCTTGTAACCTTCTCTGGAATGGAAAAGGAGGGTTTGGGAGAATATCAAGGAACCAGGGTCGGTGGCTCTCCTCATTCCCTAGTGAAGGGAGTGGAGGCAGGGGTAGGGAACCCGGAGACCCAGATATGAGAAGTACCCAGTTGTGCTGGCTGAAGCACAAAGAGCAGAGACAGTATATACTAACTTCAGAAGTGCTCCTACTTGGCAAGAGTTCAGACTTCAGAACTAGACCCAAATGCCTGGAAGCCATGCCTGAAACTAGGAATCGCAGCCTGGACAAGACCGAGGACCATCACCATCTCAGCCCACGGTTACCCTTGAATCCTCTTGCAGAACAGTTGCACTGCTCCTTGCTGCACCTTCACTCAGCCATTCACTCTTGTCTTTCCAGCCTTCCTCACCAGCCCACCAGCCTCTCCTAAATCCTCTCCATACCAGCTTCTGCCTTATACAATCCTTGTCAGTCTGTACACTGAGCTAGATTCTCTCTAGTGGCTCTGGCATCAACACTGGTAGGATGCAGCCAGGGACCTGGAAGTCTCTCCTTGGAGGGCTGGATGGGCCAAACTTCTCACATGCCTTGTGCTGTGGCTTGAATTTGCAGTTTGCGACTGGCAGGTTCCAGGGCTCCTATTTATTCTTGAAACTGCCTTGTTTCTATTTTGATTCTGCTAATCCAAATTGCAGTTTGGTGTTTCCACGGAAACAATTCAATGATTGTTTAGCTTGCCAAGATGAACTGCGGGGGAGAGAACCGAATGACGTAAAACATGTTTAGTTCCTTAAATATGACTATCAGTGTCTTCTCAAGAAATCTTTGGCCCCAGCTCCCCGCAAACCTGAGGAAGTTTATAAAAATAAGTGTCCATCCAGGATCCAGGGTCCCTTCAGCTTAATCCCTATGCTTGTACAGATGAGTGTACGCATATGTTCACAGCAAACAGATGACGAAAGCAGGAAGGTCTCCTTGGAGCACCCCAGGGAGCCAGGGTGCTGGCAGAAGCTGTCACCAGGGAAATGGTGAGGCTACCCTGCCGAATGGGGCTGGTGAGGCAGAGGTTGAGGAGCACCTACTTTACCCAACAGCTGTGTTTCTACAGTGAGGATTCCAGGGTGAATTACCCTTTGGCAGATCTGAATAATCACATAAAGATTTTGCTAAGAGAGGCCTACTTATCTTGGGCCAGGAAGAGCCTAAACCCTCTTTCCACTCTCCCATTCTCCCAGGCTTAACCCCTGTTCCCAATGGCCACAGTTTGTCACATGCAGAAAAATATCTTCTCACTTCATTCCTCTAAGGTTAAGGTAAGACCCCCACATCCAGCAGAGTCCCTCAGGGGAGAGTGAACTGAGTTGAGAAACTGCTCTGTGAGACCAGGACCGCCAGCCTCTGAGGGCCCAGCATCGTCAGGAGGATGAGCCCTTAGCAGGGTGCCACTGGCCCTCCCATTGTGGGCCCTGAAGTCTGCCCAATTCTCAAAGCTGTGAAGGTCAGCTCTGACGGAGAAGTAGCTGGTGAGGGATACCCAGGCTTGGCTAGTGGAGATGAGGGTTTCAAAAGACAAATTTAATTTATTCTTTCTGAAGAAGTAACCCGTGGCACTGCAGTTAAAATAGGAAATACAGAGAAGAAAAAAAAAAGAAACACTAAAACTCCCTCCATAACATTTTTCTGTACATGTGCACATACATTTTTACAAACTTGGGATCAGCTACATTAAAATTTTCCCCCTAATTTTGGAATAACTCTTGGTTTATAAAAATGTTGTAAAGATAATGAGTTTTATATACCGTGCGCATAGCCTCCAATGCCAACATCTTATATAATTGTAGTATATTTGTCAAAACTAAAGAGCCTAGCAAATACTTTAATAGTAACTCTAGCCTTTATTTCAATTTAATCAGTCTTTCCACTCATGCCTCCTTTCTGTTCTAGGATGCAATCTAGGATACCACACTGTGGTATCTATGACAGTTTTTGAGCCTTTCCTGGCCCTTTGTGATACTGACAATCTTGCGTACTGGCCAGGGCACCTGGAGAAAATCCCCAGTCTGGGTTCACATGACATTTACCTAAATTAGAATGGGAATGTGGATTTTGGGGTAAGACTACCTCGGAGGTGAAGCCCTTCGGGCAGATGCTATCAGGGTGGGAGACATCACTGGTGTTCACCTGGCTCATGTATTTACCTGGTTCGGTGGCTTCTCTAAGCTTCTCCACCCAAAAGTTGTGCCTTCCCCTTATCGTCCTCTATTCCTTGGGGTAAGCAATCAAGTTTAACTGGGACTGGGTTAGGATTGGGAGATACAGGGATTTAAGCTCCACCTCCTTGCAGGAAAATATCCACATCAGTATGTATTATCTGGAACATACACTTTTGAGACCTACCTTGCTATTTTTTTCTTTTTTCAAAGCAAACAACACGGCTCTATCCATACAGCTCCTTCTCTAGCTGAGCAGGACAGCGGAGTATGCTGTGAGCGTTTCTTATTTGCTCCTGTCCTTCCTGCTCAAGGCAAAACTGGCCTCCAATTCCACAAGCTGCGAGTGCTTACTGAGGGTGCCACTCGCTACCTGTAGTACTGAGCTTCAGGTGACCAAGGAAAAGCCGCTGGTTAGCCTTATCCTACCACTTACCCTACCACTCCAGCTAGAGAGGTGGCAGTGACTACAGCCCCAGGCAAGACCCACCTTAAGTGAGCCCAAAGGAGCTGTCAGCGCTATGGTAAAGGGCTACCCCCGGCTCTACAGCATGCCCCATGCCAAGGTGATTAGCCTGACTGCGGGGGAGGCTCCCTGGGCCTTCCTCCCTAGTTTTTTGGAGGCATCAAACATTGCCTGACAGCTTATTAAGTTTTCCTGAAAGAACAGCACAGTTTTAAGAAAGCTACCTGAACAATTTCTAGTGATGTGCTTTCTTTCTTCCCAGGGGTGGGGCTAGAACAAGTCCTATTAAGCTTTGCAGTGATGCTCTCTCCGGGGGGTTAGTGACCTTGGCTCTCCTTTACTCCCTGCCTGACTTGCCCAGCAGGGTGGCTGCCATGGGAACCATGCGCGGCTTCCAGGGTTTCTGTGCTTGGAATGGGACTGATGAGACTCAGGCATGCCTGAAAGGGTGGGATCTGTATTTGCCTCCTTGACTCACCGCCTTAACTCAGGGCCCGTGTGTGTGATGCAGTGTGCGGGAAGGCCTCGTGAGAATGTCCTGTCAGGAGAGCACCAGGAATGCTGCCATTCCCTCTGACACGATCACAAGGCCTCTTGAATAGGCCTTTAAGCTGAACAGACAAGGATGAGGGAATGGAGGAAGGGCAGGTCTGGACATGAGGAGAGCGTGGGCCCCAAATGGGAAATAGTCTGCAATGTGTGCAAAATACACAAGGATGGCAGAGGGCACAGGGCCAGTGTCACTCTTCACTGAGCTCACCTGGGATGAACTGGCCCAGCCAGAGGTATGATACAACCACCCTGGTTGTGTCCAAATTGCTTTTTCAGGATTTCATGGAAAAGAACACCAAGAGACACAGCAAAGGCCCAGGATCTATACCTGCCTTGGGCAACTGGGTATATTGAACATAAAAATGGGGACGGGGGAGGAGAAATCAACAGAAAGTAGCATTTCAAAACAACAGAAAAATGGGCCCTGTGGTCCTGTGACAACTGTGACTGTTTCTGTACAGATGCCTTAATAAGAGCCTGCAAAAAATCAGTAACAAAATCAACCATCCTTACTCAATTTGGTATTTAAAAGAGGTCATCAAATTGTAATCCTCTTCCAAGTCCAGAACAGTCTGAATGATATTGTGATCATCGAAGGCCTGCTTAAGGCAGCCAGGGTCAGCATCTGAGGCCTTCTGGGGACTCTCGTCCACCAGCAGGGTCCAGGCTTCTTCCTTGAAGGGTGAATCTTCACAACGACCACACACACGGTTCAACTCGTTTTCAAACTCTAGTTTTCCAGCCAATTCTTCAATAGTTCGGATGCTTGTATGGTCTTAAATATAAGAACATTCAGTTTTACAATTCCAGTGAGAGGTTTCCAAAGACATGTCAAGCAGAAGTTAAAAAGCAGGAAAAGGCGGCAATTCTTCTGGGATTATGCAAAGCAGGGTAATTCTGCCCAAGGCAGGCAGATTGTCAGAATGAGTGCCAAATTCTAGGAGGACCCTAGAAATTCATCCAGCTCTATCTACCAGTCCCCAGGAATGGAGAAGATGCAGATACACACTTGTCCTGGCTTTTAAGGAACTCCTTGACTTACAGAGATGATAATACATCATATGAGAAGAATGAGGTTTTTTTGGGATCATCAAAATGCTGCCTGGTGCTGGCCCTACCAAGGCCTATTCTACACAGAGCCCACAATGACTTCAGTTCATCTCTGAGGCTACTAAAGATTTAATCCACTAAAGTAGTGGGCAAGGAGGGGGTCCGCTTAATGACTCTGTGTAACTCCCCTCACCAGGCCTCACTTTCATACCCTATAACCTTCAGATGCCCTTCAGAACCAACAACTTTAGGCAATGCCCACGGGTATAAGTCCTTTAACTATGAGCTATTTGTCCAAAGTGTAGTGTGAGTCATTAAAAATAGGGCATACGCAAGTTATGTAAACAACCTAGATGTCCATAGAGCAGTGCATGAGGAAGATGGGATACATAGGCACAATGGACTACTCTACTATTATTAAAAAAAAGAAAGAACTCTTACCATTTGCAACATGGATGAACTTGAAGAGGATTATACTAAATGAAAAAAGTCAGGAGGAAGACAAACACTGGATGATTCCACTCATGTGGATATAAGGGAAGAAAGCAAATAACAGACAAAACCAAATGAAAGCAAACCTTGGAATCTGAAGAACTGAGGTTAGCAGAGCAGGAGAGAGGGTAGGAGCAAAGGGGAGAAGGGGCCCTAAGCACTCTGGTGAGGGTGTGGTGTGGTAACATCCATTTGAAGAGGCAGGTGTGAATCTATTCCTAGAACAGTCAGTATTGTAAATCAACGGTACCTCCATAAAAAAAAATAAAGTTGGACAAAGTTTACACAACAGTGTGTGTAAAAAGCTGTGTAACAAGGTGTACAGCACTATGTTAACAGTAGCTATTTTCAAATGGTAGAATTATAGAACTTTTGTCTTCTCATTTTCCTTCTGATCTCCCAGGCCAGCTAGACTCCATTCTTTCCCTCCTCTTCATCTATGTCTTGTTTCCTTCATATCTAAGTTCAACTACCAAGTTCTGGGGCCTGTCTCTTGCATCCCATTCATTGTAACAACATCTGAGATGACTTGACTGGTATGCGAGTCCATCTGGCTGTGAGCTCCAAGAGGGCTCTATGCAATACAAACCCGCTGAGCAAATGACGAGAAATAAGGGAGTCTTAAAATCTAAGACACTTGCTGATGCAGAGATCTGCGGGATGGACCAAGATCGGCCATCTTCCTTACTCACCAATCATATCAAGCAGATCCTTTGTGACCTCTTGGCTACAACTGCTTAGTGGCAAGTTTGAGTCAACCTTCAAATCTTTTTCCAAATCTTTCCTGTAGGCCCCCAGAGAAAAGGGAACAAAAAAATAAGGGGGGGGGGGATGGTGGAATTAGCTCTTCAAGAAAGAAGGAAACTCGAACTCAGTGATAGATGTTAAAGACAAAAACTTATTGGTAACTTTAAAAATTGTCATTTATAGTATGATTAGAGACGACTGGAAACGCTAAATCAGCAAAATTGACCAACGGCATCATCATGACTTATGATCACGAAAGACTGTGTATTAACATCTATGAATCAAGGTGAATATTCAAAGTTAAATGTTTTCTTCATTCTCTACCAATAGGACAACCAAGATGGCAACAATTCAAGGCTTCATTCAATGTGATCATCCTTCTCCAAAACAAGGTGCCTGGGAGCAGGCAACTTGTTACCTGGGAGAAAAGGTCTAGGGCTGACCTTAACTCAGGGCAGGCTAAAAACTTCTGAGGCAGGCAGGGAGCAGAGACAAGGATGAAGCCAGAAGAGTACATGACGCTGATACCATTCAGCCTCACCTCAGCATGGGCAAAGGATATTGTTTCTAAGATTTCTGTTTCTGCAGCATTAAAAAAAAAATAAAAACCAGGATAACATTCACTGACCTTTAGGTACTACAGTGTGGTTTCCATGACATTTAACAGCAAGGACACATACATACATAGCCTGCTGAGGCCAAGTTCTTAAACTTACCAAGAGGAGGCCAGGACACACTCAATTTAGGATCTTCAATTAAGTATTTCAGAAAGGAGACCCCTTAACTGTAGCCATGAAACTATCAAATTCAAATCACCTTAGACTTTCTTTTCTCCAGTTCTCCCCATCTCCTGCCACTCTCCAAAACTGTCTTTCAGGTGCCAACATGGAGGTATGCATCAATACATTTTCCTTGCTGATCAGAGGTTTTCTTTGGGGACACAAAGCTGGTGACTTTGCGCTCATTGGGGCGTGGTTTGGTGCAAAAGCAGAGCTCTCACTCTCGGGAGCACATGGGACAGGAGTGAAAGGCGCTGAGACAGAGCAGGCTGCCAGGGAGTGCCTCCTGCAGAGCAGCCGGTGCACCGGGAGGGGGAGAAAGAGCTGCGCCGCATCCAGCGCCAGCCTCTGCTGGCCTGAGCACTCCTGGGAATGACTGACTCCTTCAAAAGCTCGGTCAATGGCTGCAGTCAGTTCCTTTCTGCATCTTCTCAGTTTTTCAGACATTTCCCCTAAAAGCGACCACCTCTTTATTATGTAAAGCAATGCACAAGGCAAAAAGAAAGCTACAGATGAGGTTGCAAAGTACCCCCAGTGGGATTTCAGGCATTTTTTGAGCTTGATGCTAGCTCCGCCAGGGAAGTTGGAAAGCCCACCACACTCGAGACTCCCTCGGGGGAGGGGACACAATGTACTGGGAAGCAGCCCCCGGGACTCCGGCTCTGCCTTCCTGCCTGGCGGCTCCTGCCAGCCAGTAGTCCCACAGGCCCTGGGCTCACAGCTGCCAGGCCAGCCCACCCCCACCACTACCCACCTCGCCCCGCCACACCCCCACCCCGCGGCAGGTGGTCCGGGACCGCATCCTCACCAAACAGCAGCGGCCGCCCACACCCCGCCACCCTCTCACCCGGGAACCCGCCGCTAACGGTCGGTCGCCGATCGGTCGCGTCCCAGATAGATCACCTGGGCCAGTAACTGTGGGCCCAGCCCCCACGGCTCAGGTTAAAGGTCAGAAAGCCGGTCTCAACCCTGTGCTTCAGTCCACCCGGAGGGCCAAGGAAGGGGCGGGGCACAGGGAGGCGGGGCTGGGCCTGGACTTGGCGGCGGGGGCGGGGCAAGGGCACGGAGCCGACATTCCGAGGGGCAGGCGACTCACTTCTTATCAAAAGTGGGCAAGCTATCTGGAGCCCTTTCCGGACCTGATATTTAAATCCCCAGTAGGGTTCCCACTCTCAAGCCAATGTGGAGAAACTACTGGACAGGGCACAATGCCCTGCAGAGTTGTATGTACCGACTGCTTTAAAGTGATGTTGAATAAAAAGTTCCACAGTATCTGTCTGACTGGATTCATCAAGGCTGATGAGGGACCTAACAGAACTGCTAGGCTCCACTTCAGATAGAGGGGGAAGAATATTGGGAATTCCAAGATGACTCAAAGGACACAGAAATGGGTGTCAGTAGCTACTTTTTGGGAATTATAAACCCATCTAAGTGCATGGAGAGGGAAAAGGGGACGTTAAATTTACTTGAGGTGTGGTTTGGGTGGGCAGGCTACTGGGGTAGCCAGTAATCAGCACCAGAATCAGACATCCAGAAACTCAGGGCAGCCTGCAGCAAGCCTGCCACAGCACACACAAGCACAGCGCTCTCAGCACTCTCTGGAACCCAGCAGACACACTACATTGTGAGCACCCCTCCCAACTTCCACTCTGCAGCTCCACAGGTTTCACAGAAATTTCTCACCCCCTGTTTAAAAAGAAAAATAATTCAGCCTCTTGACATAACCCTTCTGAGCAAACAAGGTCTTTTTTTTTTCTTCTGCTCATAAAAGGGAATTTCCTTATCTGGTTTTTAGACTGAACCCTAGCAGTCTTCCAAGTGTCAAGGATGTTCTTCTGGGGATTACACCGGTGCTGTGGGGTAGCAGGGTCACAGAGGCAGCATCAGTTGGTGTCCATGCTGCATGCCTCATCATCCCCCAAGCCCTGCTGCGAGCTGGCTGGTCTTGTCCCTCCATCAGAGGACCCAGGAAAACCAAGTGAAGATGTCTTATAAAACTCATCATCTCGACGCTCGTAAAATAGCACATAAGCTGCTTTTGTCTAAAACACAAGAGGGGAAAAATCCATTCACTGATTGGAAAAAAACTACTCCACCCCAGTTTTTCTTTACTGTTCAAAACCCACATCTCAGGAATCTGCCATCTTGCTCTGTGCATCCACACACAGTAGCAACAGTGAAGGGCATCACCCCTGAAGCGCCCATACTGCCCATGCCCAGCGGGTAGAGAAAGGGCCCAGTGCCACATCACCCTAGGGAGTCAAGTTCCTCATTTAGGAAGGGTTCCAGGAGGAATGACAGTCAACTCATTCACTAACTCTTCCAGTTCCCACTGTCCCATCAGGATAACTCAATAACCAACTTGCCCTGGAGAGACTCTTCCCAGTTTTAATCTATAAAAATAGGTCTACTTGGGCCCTCCCTGGTGGTGCAGCGGGTTAAAGCACAGCACTAAGAAGCTAAAGCCACTTCAGCATGAGTTCGATCCCCACCCCAGAGGTGATCCACATGGCGTGGCAGGCCTCTCCTGATCCGCGGCCTCTCCTGATCCGCCCGCTGCTTGCTCCTCTCAGCAGTGTACTTCATTATTCTGCCTGTTCTGCTCCCCACACTGTCTTTGGTGAAGCCTCTCACGGCCCCTGCACCTCTGGCCTGTACCTCAGTTCTGTATGCGTAAATAAATAAATCTTAAAAAAGAAAAAATAGGTCTACTCACCACAATCTGATCCTCTGAAGCCAGGGACACATTGCTATCATCAAAGTAATACCATTTCCCGTTCAGTTTATTCTTTGCATGTGCAGTATCTGCCAAGTTAACAAAGAAAATACTTTAGCCATCAGCAGAGAAAAAAAAATCTGGCTAGTTTATTAGGTTTGCACTAAATAGTAACAAAACTCTTAACATATGAAACACTCTCAAGAGAATCATAGCTTCTGTCTTAACAGCCAAAGACAACTCATCCTTTAAAAAAAAAAATCTATTCTCAAACAGCTGCTGAAAGGGTTTTAAAAATGAACTGCCAGAGACCAGAGTTTAAAAATTTGGACTATGCCTCTTACGGGCTCTGGAGCCTGTGGAAGTAATCCTGGTTAAGGGCATTTGGAATTACATTTATCTTTCTCTAAGATTGTGAATCAAAATTTGTGGCTATAATTCCCCCAATGGTCCAAGTATTTCTGACAGCCAATACTTCCTGTTTTGATTTATTATTTCTAAGTAGCAATTCCCAATTCCTGCTCCAACCAGACTCTAGGATACAATAGAATCTAATGGAGATCTGGTTTCTTTCTTTTTTTTTTTCTTTTCATTTCAGGAGATCTGGTTTCTAATCTGAACCTACTATGTGAGTCTGGATAAATCCTGTCACATTCTCCTAGCTACATGCCTTCTACAAGCAGTAATGGTCAGAAACACAGCAAAGAAGGGCTGAGGGCCTGTCTGCATTGTCTGTTCTTGACGTTACAGCAGCAAAATAGTTTCAACTGTGGGTCCAGTATAGTCCTTCACAGTCAATCTAATCTTGTAGATAAAGAAAACTAAAGCAGAAGGTGGCAAAAAACTTGCCCAAGTAGTGCATTCACATGCTAAAACAGCAGTTAATCCACTGAAATGCAAACTGGCACCTTCAGTATTAAGCCTCAATACCGGCTGTGGCAGCTGGCCTGGTGCAGATGTGACAGACAAGGCAAAGTTCAGTTCCTCACTTTATATCACTAACACCTTCTCATAAACAATTAACATTGTAATGTAAACCAATACATTATACAAATTTTGGAAAATAAAGTAGAGCAACAAGAAAACCATTTTAGTGAGAAAAGGTAGAAAGCACACTTTTTAACACTTCTCCCAGGTTTCCCCCAATCAGATTCTTTGTTTTAATACCGCGATGAAGCTATCCTCTGGAGGGATGTAGCTGTGTTGCTGTTCTCACTAAACAGAGCGTATCATGAGCGAGACGTCCCAAGGTTATTACCAACTGTACTCTGCAGTGAATGTAGTACTCTCCCATCACGGAGACAGAAGTATTGCCACGTGCGCTGAGCGCCAATGCTGCTACTAAACTTCCACTATTATCAACAGGGATCTAGCTTTACACATAAAGCTTTTTGACATCTTAATGTCAAGTATTTTCCTTAAGATACCATTTCCAGAAGTGGGATTATTAAAGAATAAGAACCAAAATCAAGTAAGTGAACAAATAAGAATGGAAGGGCAGCAGTATGGCGGAAGTCTAAAACCTGAAGCTGTGTTGCTGCGCAGGGAAATGGCCTGGGACAACACCTGGCGTACAAGGAGGCTGGAGAGTGATAACGGGCTGAGGCTATTTCTGGGTCTCAGAAGGAAGCAGATGCCAATACTTACAGTGGCCAACCCCCATGGCTCCATAGTGATTGGACACAGCAATGAGATCGTACACATAAGGCCTCGCTGACGGGTCACAGACAAACTCGGACATGTTCAGAGCTCTGAGCACAAAACACGAAATCACTTTTGAATACATTCAGCTCAGAGTAACCCAGCAATCCCTTTTATGCAACAGGCTAGAATACAGAGGGAGTGAATAGATCATGACAGTTGGGACTCTAGGGTCCTGTGCTGATCACTGACAATATTCAGACTAGAAAAGAGAAATTCCTGGATAATTGTAACCATAGACCAAAAGGTAAGGAAGGGCCCCGGGCACAGAGGAAGCCAGCAGTGACCATGCAGCAATGTTTGTTACTATCAAAATACAACTAGTGCCAGGAAAATGTAAGCTAAATACCAAGACAGACTTATCCCTGGTGTTATTTTTCAAATTTCAAACATACAGAAAGATGATTTATAACTAATATCTATATAGCTACCACCTGGGTTCCACATTGACACAATGCTTCATCTGTCTATCTAGCCCCCCCAACACCCCCCACATCCCTCAAAAGCATTTTTAGAATATACATTTTGTTAAGAAGCTCCTATCTTATGGATTTATTTCCTGGGTCAGTGACATTCTGTACCCTGGGACCTGAAAAGACACAATAGACATCCCAAGGACAGGGCAGTGATCAGCACCTTCAAGAATTCAGTTCTTCCCAGAAAACTATTCTCTGGTTGCCTTGTCCCCTTTTATTATATGTAACATGGTCGTGTGCTGTCCTGCTGGACCCAGGATCAACGACTGATGGAAATTATTAGATGTCATGAGGGATTCAAAGTAGGAAGCAGTAGAGGCAGAGAAGACTGGCCTCACCCTGAGTCTGGAAAAAAACTTCTGTTGGAAACTCCTCCCCAAAGACTGGATAGAGAGGAGAAGTGACTCAAAGTCTAGCCTCTAGAACCAAGCGACACACAACCTAGTACAGAAGTCTGGTGGCAAAACCCTCATCCAATCAGTGTCCAACTTTCCTATTAACATCCAGGACTCACCTGACTGGGAATTCCACGACTGTGTCTAGTTTATCCCTCCAGTACCTACTGTAGGAGAAACGCTTGAGGTGGACCACCAAGATCCTCGGCAAGGACCACAGATCAAACTTCTTCGTGGCCTGTTGATGCTTCTTACAGTTGGGACAATACCTTAAGAGAAAAGAGAAGCCTCATTCTATTGGGGAAGCAGGGAGCCGGTGTGACTGAGCACTCATGGAGGGGAGGCACAACTGCCGCCCCACAACAGCCATTCGGCACAATATAGCAAGTAGGTCGCTAAGCCGCCTTCCAAAGCAGAGTGATGGCTTTCTTGGTGTGGAAATATAATCCATACAGAAAAAGAACTTCTATCACAAAGCTGGCCATACAAAAAAATGACATGTCCAAGTTCAAAAGGTTTTTGTGTGGAGAGATGCTGAGAGTCTGGGGATATATAAGCATTCCCCTGCCTAAAGGTGAGGAACTACGTACCAGGGGTCGTGCTCCCCAAGGGTTTCCATGGTGGTGAAGAGCTCAATGCAGTCTCTCAGGGCTACTGCAGTCTTCTTCTTCTTCTGTGGCTGCAACATGCTCACATGTTTCTCATAGGCCTGTAAGGAAGAAAGCGCTGAGTTCTGCTGGAGAAACACAACCTGACCAGGTCAAATCACAACCTCATGAGTCTCACACCTGGAACATAATGTACTTTCTGGAACCTCTGGACACACAATGATAAAATCTGGAAGTGCTTTTCACTTTCCACCTGAAACATTAACTTTTTAAGTTGCCATCTGACTGGTTAAGAGTGACACCCATACACCACCAGAGCAGGTATCAACATGGACCACTGCCCAAGAACAGAGGGACCTACCTCAGATTCTTGTTCATCGTAGTAAAGGCTCCGTGCCTCACTGTCCCAATCAATGGCCAGGGTGGATCGAGCTATGGAAGCAAACAAAGTGTCC